TGGAACTACAGGTGCGCGCTACCACACCCGGCTAATTTTTTTGATTTATTGTAGAGATGAGGTCTCACCAAGTTGCCCAGGTGGGTCTCAAACCCCCGAGCTCAAACAATCCTCTCACCTCCACCTCCCAACGTGCTGGGATTACAGGTGTGAGCCGCCGCACCCAGCTAATGCCCATTTCTAATTGTCCCTCTGAGAGCCGCAGTATGACTTTTATGGGTCCTGGGCACTTCTACCTTCATAAGTCCCTTCTTTCATTAAAAAAAGTTTTTATTTTTTTATTTTTTTTTTGGCCACCGCAGCCTCGACCTGCTGGGCTCTGGCGATCCTGCCCCCTCAGCCTTCCGAGTAGCCGGAATTACAGGCGCACGCTACCACGCCCGGCTAATTGTTTTTTAATTTATTGTAGAGATGAGGTCTCACCAAGTTGCCCAGGCGGGTCTGGAACCCGCGGGCTCAGGCAATCCACTCGCCTCAGCCTCCCAAAGGCGCAGGATTCCAGGCTGAGCCACCGACCCGGCTGACTAAAAAAAGTTTAAAAAAAAATGTATTGTATAACTATGTTGGAATAAAGCCTATATAATCCACACAGGAGTCAATCATTTTTTTGCTTTTGACTTTGAAATAAATGAAAACATTCTCGGTTGGGTAAGGTGGCTCCCGCCTATAATCCTAGCACTTTGGGAGACTGAAGCGGGAGGATTCCTTAAGCCTAGGAGTTTGAGACCAGCCTAGGCAACTTAGTGTGACCCTGTTTCTACAAAAACCAAAGAAATTAGACAGGCATGGTGGTGCACATCTGTAGTCCCAGCTACCGGCTGAAGTTGGATGGCCTGAGCCCAGGAGGTGGAGGCTTTTGTGAGCTGTGATCATGCCACTGCTCCCAAGCCTGGGTGTCACAGTGAGACTCTGAGTCAAAACAAGCAAACAAAAAGCATTCTCATAGGTTCCTTAAAATATGGCGGGCCCTGGGGACTTTGTCTCCTGTGTCTCACTTGTGTCATTCTTACCTTGCAGGGTGCCCGCTGGAAAGTGAGACAGTGCATGATGAAGTCCATAGCAAACACCTGAAATTGGTAGCCATTTATATTTAAACTGACACTGGTCATGAACTATCTTGACTTAAACATCACATGACTATTTACCTTTTCACTTAAGTCTAACTCTTTAAGTAAACAGAGCTGGGAGTGTGTGTGTGTGTGTGTGTGTGTGTGTGTGTGTGTGTGTTTTTGAGTTGGAGTCTCACTCTGTCGCCTAGACTGCAGTGCAGTGGCCACTCCTGGCCACCGCAGCCTCGACCTGCTGGGCTCCGACAATCCTTCCACCTCAGCCTTCCGAGTAGCCAGAATTACAGGCGCGCACTACCATGCCTGGCTAATTTTTTGATTTATTGTAGAGATGAGGTCTTGCCAAGTTGCCCAGGTGGGTCTCGAACCCGCGGGCTCAGGTAATACACTCACCTCAGCCTCCCAAAGCGCGGGATTACAGGCTGAGCCACTGAGCCCGGCTGTGGGAGTGTGTTTTGAACTAGTGGTTCTCAAACTTCAGCCTGCATCAGAAGCTGAAGTTCAGTTGGTGAGGGCCCCATCACCAGAGTTCTGGATTCAGAGAGTCTGGGGTGGGGCTGATTATTTGCATCTCTAACAAGTGCTCAGGTGATACTGATGTTGCTGGTCTCCGGACCCCACTTAGAGAACCACTGTTTTATTTGTTTTGTTTTTAGTTGGGGTCTTGTTCTGTTATCCAGGCTGAAGTGCAGTGGCATCATCACAGCTCATCGCAGCCTTGACCTCCTGGGCTCAAGCGATCCTTCCACCTCAGCCTCCCCAAGTGCTGAGATTATGAGTGTGAGCCACCACACCTACCACACCCGACTAGAACCACTGTTTTAGATGACTCTGTATCCTCCCAAAACCTCGCACAGGGGACACTTTCAAATACATTCAGAGGAAATTATTTATACAAAAGTCATACAAACGCAGGCAGGAAAATTTGTTTGACCTTGCTCTCACAGTGAGAAAAGTTTCACTTCTACAGGCGCTGAGTGAAAAAGGATGAGCTAAGAAATCTTGCTGAAAGAAACAGTGTTGGTGGCACAACTGAACAGTGACTGACATCTGTGGATTTCAGGGGCATGAGCAAAATGCAGACAAGAAGCCAAACAAGAGCTCTGCCAACTCACGGCTGCCCGAGTTCTTAGCTCAATCTATAACAATGCCAGCAGGACTGCTGGGACCCATCTGCTACTCTCTTTCTGATAAAGAATCTAGGATCACTCTGGAAGGAAATTGGTTGACAGGAAAACAAAAGAACGAGGAGGCCAACTGAACGCAAGGAAGCTGCACTTGAACCTGGTACAACATGCAGCTCCTCGGACACATTACCAACCCTCAACATATCCTGCCATTTCTTCGGTTGTCTGTCTTCCTTGCAGTGAAGAAATGTGATTTGTGAGTGCCACATCAATCCTGGACACATTCTGTTTCCACACAAATTAAGTTAGCAGAATTTAAAACTGCAGGGAAGCTTGAGATCTTCTGGTCCAATCCACTAATTCACACATGAGAAAACTTGAGCCTGGAGTTAATCCTAAACCATACAACCCAGGAATGCTACAGCCAGGCCGGAATCCGATTCCTTGACTCACGGTGGGTATGTGGTGTCCTTTAAACTCTCAACTTGAGTAGGAAAAGGACACCTTTTCTCTATTACCTTTTAATAAGGAAGCGTAACTTCTCCCTTCACTTAAGTTACTTTTCACAATTTGCCCTTTTGTCCCTGGAAGCAGGAGGGCTTTATAAGGGCAAATGAAGAGAGATAAAGCATCTCAGCAGAGCCTGGAAGCTTGAGGGCAGTGATGACATTCTGTTTCCTGCTCCATACCCATTGGCTTGCTGGAGAAACAGCACAGAGCACATTCTCAGAAACCATATGGTAAGTGAATGAGTGAATGAATGAATCACTGATGGTGATTTGCCATTTTTTTCAGGAATATTTGGAGCCTGCTGTGGCTTATCCTTATCTCCACCAGTAAGTTAGGTACTTACATAAAACCAAAAAACGTCTTTTCTGTAAGCTAGGCAGTGTGTCAGCTGGGAAAGTATGGGCTTCGAGGTGGAAAGCGTCGAATCCCAGAATGATCACTCTGGTTACTTAATTCTAGGCAAGTTCTAGAAGCTTTTTGAGCCTTGAGTCCCCCCACCCCACCTTTTCTCTTCCCCCCAACGGTGTGTAAGGATTAAATGAGATAATATGTGCAAACTGTCTTGCACATAGTAGGTACTGATTAAATGTTAGTACCATTCCCCTTCCGCTTCCAACTGTTAGTATAAGAGTCATATTGGTATTGACGTGGGTGAGGTGGGTAGCTGGGAGGATAGGTCTGAGACTCTGAGTGAACACTGAGGGGTCTTTATGGCTGGGAATATACACAAATCATCCTGTGGTTACAGTTATCTGTAGCTGTTTTTACTGATGGTGTGTTATCCAATAAGTGCAAGCGAAACTCCCATCATCCAAGCATTCCTCATATTTCACCACTCCTCACCATTTCCCAGGTTTCTAAACAAAATGATTTTCAGGGAAAAAAAATAAGTCTAGTTTTTTGCTTACCCTTTTGGTCTTGGTTTCCTGGTTCTGGGCTCAAGGAACTCTGTCTCCTCCTCCATTTCCGTGTCAGGAATCGTGTTTTTCTGAGCAGGCTGTGGTGAAAGCATTTCCCATTCATATTCGTGGGTGACAGCTGGCAGCGCAACTGCATCCGGGCCAGCCCTGCCTCGGCTCTTGTTTTTCTGTGATTGGCTGACCAGGCCAGAGGCTTCCTCTAGTGCTAAAGATTCTGGAGGCTTCGTTTCTTCCAGAACCTGCATCTGGGGACCTTTGCCCAAGCTGAGATCAGAGAACGGCTCTCCAGTCTTGCCAGACTTCTCAGGCCCCACGGCCCTGGCTTCCAAGGATGGATCACCAGCCTCACCAGAGCCCAAGACCATCCAACTCTGGTCTTGTACAGGGCTCTCAAGAGATGATTTCTCGTCACCTTTGGAAGGGATTTTCTCTGCAGAGTGGTCTTTTCTTTCATTTGAGGAGGCAGGCTGACATGTGTCTGGGAAGCTTGCTATCTCAGTTCCTGGCGGGCCTGGTTCTGCAGAACCTATGCACGATTCATCGAAATCAGATATGCTTTCTCTTGCTTCACAGTTTTCTGGTTTCAGGGGTGAATTTTCTTCATGATTTACAAGTATATAATCCATGTGCAGTGCTTGGCGATCTTCACTCTTCTCTGTGCATCTTTCTTCCTTGTCTTCTGATTTTACCTGCTCGGACTCTTTGGCAGGAATTATTTTTTCTTCTTCCAACTCTAATATTTCCTTGCTGGCACCTAGAAGTGGAAGTTGAAGGTGGGAAGGAGAGAACAAGCCTTAATTAACACATTATGTGATTTGTGATCTTTGCAAATGATCATCTAAAAAAGGAGGAACTTAATAGATATTTTTATTTTAGAACTGTTTAATTTTCTTGTGCTCTATCAACCACAGGTATTATATATACATTAGATTTTACTGCTTTCATAGAGGACTTGCTTATAGGCATGCATCGCAAATATAGTTAGTTTCTCTCTTCCCTCCTTGGTAGAAGAGTATGTCTTACAAATGCATGGATTTAGTCAAAGCAGCACTGTCTTGGGGGTGGAGGAATGGGATGATTCTTACCATTTGCTGGTCCCATGTCTCCACCTGCTGGTGACTCAGAATGATCCGTTTCTACTTCCCAGTCGATATTTGATGGAGACAAAATGTTGGCGCCTGCTTCCACAGGCGAAGAAACGGACTCTGGGTTTTCATGAATATGTAGTACAGCCAACTGGGATCCAGGTCGGATTTTGGTCTCAGCCTGGTTTCCCTCCCTTCTTCGATCAGGAAGGGCAGAAAGCACTATCTCTGCCGCTTTGGGCCCCAGAGACTCATCCTCTGAAGACCCAGCATCCTCTATTTTTTCCGCGCCACGGGTAGATTCTGTGAGATAGGACAAATCGAAGGGAGGAGTATATGGGGCCAGCGGTTGCTTCAGAGTGTCTTCTTCCAAAGAAGGGTCCCCACCATAGAGGAAGTGCTCTGGCTCTCTCATGAAATCTTCATCGATATTCTGGCCCATGACATCATATTCAAAATCACCCCACGAGGCTTCAGACGAACAGATGTCGTGCTTCCCTGGGTCCCCGTCCACTGGTGTTTCGGGATGGCCTTCTGATAATGTCAGTCTACTCATGTCATCTATCGTTCCCGTGGATGTGTTGAGACCCGAGGCCTCGCTGAAACTGTGGTCAAAGGCAGCTTCGCTTACATCCAGGCAGGTGTCGGAGGCTAGCAAAGCATCAGGAACTGTGGCAGGATTCTCCATGGCAAAGGGTGGCTCACAGTCCACCAAGGCGCTTGCCCCCGAGTAACTTTCAGGAGAAAAGCCCTCTGATACCCAAAAACCGCTGCTATCTAGAGTTGGCTCTTGGGGAGCTGCAAAAGTGCCGGTCCCCACAGTTTCAATCCGTGGGATTGTTCTGTCAACAGGTTCCAAAACTGGTGCCATATCTGGACTGCTGACTCTTTCTGATGCTTTGAAACCTGTATCGTCACCATTTATTTCAGAAGGTTCAGGAGAAGCTTTATGAGAGGCAGGCTGAGATGAGCCATTGATGTTTGCTTGATCGCTGATGGAAGGCAGTGGGATTGCATTTTTGGGAGCGCATTCTGAATTGCAAGGGACATATTCCAGCCCAGACTCCTGACCAGCTGCTTCACTCCTCTCTGGCTCAGTGAAGTGAAGCTCACTGGATTCCACCTCAGGTTCCATGCAAGCACTGAAGTGCTGCTCAGACTCCCGCTTCGGTTCAGAATCATGACATATATCAGGGCTGTTGGAAGCCTCGGAGTTGCTGTCATGGTCGCAGTGTGTCAGTATATCAGGGTTCTCACCATCTGCTTTCAGACTGAAGGGCTGCTTAGCATCCATCCACAAGTCAGGCGAAGCCGAGGCCAGTTGCCCACCCTCTTGGAAGTTGCCATGTAAAACATCTGGAATAAAAGTACCTTGGGGGTACTCACTCGGAGAAGAATCATCCCATTCAGAGCCTGATTCCATCATCAATTGGGTGGGAGAACTAGGAGCAGGGAACTTTCCTGTGGCAATGCTTGAATCTGTCATTTCTCTGGGACAGGGTTTTTCTTGTTCCCACCAGTTTGCTTCTTGAGACTCAACAGTTGAAACATTAGCTATAACATATCCATTTTTGTTTGTGTGAGGACACGCTGGTTCTGGCTGATCCCAGACTGATGGCTTGGTATCTCCACATTCTTCTAGGGTAGGTGTTTCAGGAGTGAGTTCATCAACAGGAGAAGACACGAAGGTTTGCTCTCTTGAGTCTTTTTCTTTGAGTTGGTCCAATATTACAAGCTGGCTAAACTGATCAGTATCTGGGTCTGACTGCCTTGGTTGAATGTTCCAGAGTTGCCCGGGGGAGTTTCCCTCATCACGGTCCAGAAAAGGAGACTGAAGTTTGTCAGTGAAAGGATCAGTGCAGTGTGCTTCTGCGGGCTCAGTGTGCTCCTGAATGGGGCCTCCCCAGGGACCTGAATTTTGGTAGACTGAAGATTTCACCATCTCTAACACATTACCTGAGTCAGAAAGTTCCCCTTCAAGCATACTCTCAGTTTGTCTCCCTTCCTGGAGTGGGGCGTTCCACCACTCAGTGCTATCGGCTGAGAAGCCCAGCATTTCCAGTTTAGAGTTACCTTCCTCCTTTGGCTCCATTTCTGGGGACATTTGCCATCCGACATCTCCTGTCTTCTCTGTTTCTGGGGAAGATCTCGTCTCCTTCTCTACTGCTGTCATCTGTTTTTCAGTCTCCATTAGTGGTGAGAAATTCCAGTGATCAGGACTGTTTTGTTGAGTGTCACAGAATGGGTTTGACTTATTCTCTGTTGGTTCTGAACTGCCTAGGTAGTCAGAAAAGTCCTCAGACTTGGGATCGGCTGTGATCAAGAACTTATTAGATCCATTCAGTGAATCCCAAGCTCTGGATTCACTTGGAGCAGCGTGGCAAGTATCCAAATGGCTCTCTTCCTCCACTGACTCTTCACCATCGACACTGTCACCATCAGAACCTGAGCTTGTTGAAATGTCCTTGGCATCCTCTGGCTGCTCAGTTTCAGGAATGTCACGTTCATGGCTAACTGTTAGATTGCTTTCCTGATGTGCACCTGAATATTCAGAATGTTTCCCTGTTTCAGGACTGGATAAAGAGGAAAAGGTATCACCATCAACTGAGTCATTCCACATCTCTAAAAACTTAGGAACTTTGTGATCAAAGCTCTTTTCAGACTCATCCGTTCTGGTTTTCTCTAAGTCCTCCATATCAGCAATTACTTCTACTTGGCCATCAGTGGAAATTAGTTCAGATTCTTGGCGATTCTGTTCACTCCAGTCATCTGGGTTCTCTTTCCGGTGCTCAGTACTGGGTTGTTGGCCCCAGGAAGACATTGCAGCTGAAGAAGAATCATTCAGGTCAGGACTTGATGCACTTGAATGAGTACACTCACTAGAGATACTATCTTTGTCATAATTCTCAGGTGAACTGGCTCTGGAAAGGCTATTTTCAGTTCCCTTGACTTCAAGGTTCTTAGTTATCTCAGAACTTGTGCAATGGACCTGCATATCACTGTCTACAGGGCCACCCCCAGCATCAAGGCTTTGGAGAGTTTCCTGAGATAGCCTTTTGCTCACTCTTTCTGGCTCCAGAAGGTTACATTCTTCAGTTTTCTCAAGATCTATTTCAGGTAAAGACACATTTTGTGTTAACTTCATCCCATCTGAAACCTCAGCCGTTTCACCTAAATTTCTCGGATTCTCGAGTTGCTTTTCATAGGTATCCTTTGCCTGCAGGTTGTCTGTGGAGATCTCTGTTTGCACCTCACAGGAGTCTAGGTGGTACGACCCCTTCTCAGACTCCAAAGGCTCCTCTGGTTCCTCAGTTTGAGGACTAAAAGTGACTGAAAGAGAACTGACTTTGCCTAAATCACCGCAGATTTCTTGATGCTCAGATGCAGCTGGAGAAGAGATTTCCTGGTCACCTTGCCCCTTTCCAGAAATCCCTGAGGTGCTATCCATCCCAGAGCCTACTACCTCCTCCCCATCCAGGGGCCCCCTGTCAGTGGCTCCTTGGGCTTCCGTCTCTCTCTCACTTTGTTCATAGCTGTGATCTTTCCATGGCTCTGAGCGCGTAAAATGCCCTGGATTCTCAAGGCTTCTTGCCAAGGAGGCTGGATCACTCTGTGGGGTTTCCCTCTGTGTGCCTTGGTTGTCAAGATAGGGTATAAGAGCTCCTGACTCTCTGGGTCCAGAGGCTTCTGGCACACCCGGGGTGTGAGTGTCCTTAACATTTGCTGAATGGTTGGAAACTTCAGGAGGTGTTTTGCTTTGTTCTGAATCTGTAATATATGGTGAGTCTGGTGATGTGAATGATGACATGTCTTTATCTCTCATGACGGAATCCCAAATACTGTTTGCAATGAGCTGGCCATTCTTCTCACTCAGCATGTGATATTCATTGGGAGTAGTGTCCTTGGCATGGTCAGCAGAGGTAGGAAGTTCCCAATCTGCCTGATTTGCTTCCTGATACTCCACACCCCATGGTTCCAGATGTCTCACTGAAAACCGGGTTTCTGGTTCAGTCCCTTCAGCCATATATCCTTCTGCCTGACCATCACTGGGGATCGCCACACCCCCACTGCAGTCATCCCAGTCCAGGTCATTGTCCATATCTGAGATGGTCGCAGAGGACTGAGTGTCCTCCAGAATGACTCTGTTCCACAGGTCAAGATTGTCGGGGGCCACCTGCCGGGAGTTGGTGTTGCTGTGTAGAAGTGTGAGTTGTCGGTTTGTTTCATTATACAGCTGCATCATGCTGGGGTCGTCGTAACTGGACTGGCTGCTTTCCCCTACGTCATCCTCCACGGAGATGTTCTTGCCATTGGTGGGCTCTGTCTTGAGTAAATCTTTATCTGGGTCTTGAATGACATTTATTTCAGGGCTATTATCTGCATGAGGTAAAGCCCACATGTCGAGGTTCCCAGGACCTGAACTGATTCGATTTCTCGGTGGCTGTTGAGAGGACTGAAGAGGAATTTCAGCCTCTCCTGTGATGGCGTTTGCATCTTTTGCCACAAAACCTTCCTCTTTTGCAAATGGCTTGTTTTCGGTTTCTTTTTCGTCCATGGCAAATGTTGGTGATGTGTAAGAGTCAGAGGTGGAGTAGTTGGTATCTAAGGGAGAAGGCACTGAATCTTCTCCCATGTTGGTTGCACTATAATCAGAACACTTATAGGCCAAGAAGGAATCTTCCCAAGGAGCTAAGACATCTGACCCTCCTTTCTTAACGCTGTCTTCAAAAAGGTTCCAGGAATCTACCTTTTCGTATACCTTTTCCTTAGTTTGAGGATCCACTAACCCGTTCTTATTTTCCTTTGATAGCTTAGAATTATTCCATGCCTGATCCAAATCAGAACTGGGGTGTCCAGATACGAGGATATTATTCCTGGAGTCACTGTTCTTCTCGTTCCAGATTTCTGGAGTTGCTTTCGTATTTGCCTCACTGGGTGAATTGTCCAGTAGGTCTTCTGAAGAGAAAGAAAACCCACTTTTTGCCATGACCCACTCGTTCGGGTCTCTCACAGAAGGTGTCTCACCACTCGTGGGGTGAAGATTCCAGGTGTGTTTTAAAGCCCCGGCATGATCGTCTTTGCCAAATGCACCCCAGACCGGGTAGGACGCTGCAGCCACTGGGTCACCATCATTTGTGGGATGGCCCCATGGCTCAGGCATTGCCATGGGAGAGCGACCAGAATGCCACAGAGCTGCAAAGTCTTCTATCAGGTGGTTTGTTCCCTGAGAAGCGATTGGCGAATGTGATTTCTCCGTGGGCAGGTTCTGAAACTGCAAGCTTTCCTTATTTTGGTCTTGAATGTCATTGATACCCAATTCAGGCTGACCAAATTCAGACTCCCAGGGACCTGACTTTGTGAATTCGAGACTCTTTGTTTGAAATACAGAATCCGAGGCTCTCCTATCAACGGAACTTGGCTTGTGATCCTTCCATGATTCAGGGCTCTGGAAGACAGATTCCTGTTCACTGGAACTCCACGCATCCGCAATATTTTTGGAGTCAATTTCCAAACCACCCCACCAGCTGCTGCACCGCGCACGGGTCTGGGGTGGCGTGCAGCCCGTGTCGATTGCTTTTTCGGTCATATCTTCTGGATAGAGTGAGGTTGGTTCTTCAGCAGACGGTGAACTTTCTACAAAGCTGTTCATAGGTGTTGGTGGGATCCTCTTTCCAATGTTTTTGAGGCTTTCTGGCGAAGGAGAGTCATCTCCCACCAAACCTGTCAGGCTCAAGTTTCCTTCAGAGTTACCTCCGGGACTTTCTTGTCTCTGCACAAACTCCTCATCAAATTCTACAAGGCTATCCTTGCCGGCCCCTGGCAAAAGTGAACTGGATGAATAATTCGATATGTTGATACCCATCCCCTCAAGTCCTTTAGACCCAGCCGGGAGCTGTCCTTCAGATAAATCGCTGTTGGGAAAGAACTCATCTGCTGGGGAGTAGTCTGCAGAATGGGAAGATGGTTGAGACTGTCCAGAAGCCATGGGTGCTGGGTCAAAGTTGAAGAGGTCAAAGTGTTCATTGTGTTCTCCGGACCGTGCATGCTCCTCTGCCACCGCCCCTTCGGGGATGGGACTGTAGGAGTCGAGTCCTGGGAGGAGGCTGTGGTGTGGCCCTGCACCTTCTCCCACAGGGCTGTCATCACTGAGGAAAACAGAGCTCTCCTTAGAAGAACGGCTGCTCCTAATGGTAGCCAGGCCACTGTCTGGGCTGACGAGGTCTATGTTGACATCCACCTGAGCCTGGTTAGAATCAATGAGATCTGGAGGGTTTTCTATGAAATTCACGGAGCTAGGCTGTGGCTCTATGTCGGACCCATATAGCTCCATAATGCCGGAAGATCCCTGGGAGAGGGGGGCACTGCCTGCCACAGCTTCTGTTGAGGACGTCCGGCTGTTGGAGACCATCTCTGGACACCTCCTGTTGATGACTTCCTTGACAAGGAGAACCACATGATCACAAGTCACCGAGGGGTCCTCCTGCTGGTACACCAGGATCTCATCACAGCCACAGTCAAAGGGTTCCAGTTCTAGGCAAGGGTTCTGGCACTCTTCCAACTCACAGCAAATCTGTGGGAGGTACAGGCAGTTGTGTGAGCGCTTATTCATTCTCTGCACTTTGCAATTTTTTTCCTTAAATTTTTAAATATAAAATTAAACAGTGAGCCGGGTTCGGTGGCTCAGCCTGTAATCCTGCGCCTTTGGGAGGCTGAGGTGAGTGGATTGCCCGAGCCCGCAGGTTCGAGACCCGCCTGGGCAGAAAGACCTCATCTCTACAATAAATCAAAAAATCAGCCGGGCGTGGTAGTGTGCGCCTGTAATTCCGGCTACTCGGAAGGCTGAGGCAGAAGCATCGCCGGAGCCCAGCAGGTCGAGGCTGCGGTGGCCGGGAGCAGCCACTGCACTCCAGTCTGGGCGACAGAGTGAGACTCCAACTCAAAAAAAAAAAATAAAAATAAACAATGTTCATTTGTCTAAAAGAAGACTCTAAACAGCAGAGATTTGTATACTACAAAACATGGAAAGTCCTAATTAATATACTACCAACCTTTTCTCCAATCCTATCAAATTCTTTGCAATTTACTCAAAATCTAGCTGCTTGATTTTTTTTTTTTTTTTGAGTTGGAGTCTCACTCTGTCACTCAAAATAGAGTGCAGTGGCATGCTCACAGCCACCACAGCCTTGACCTGCTGGGGCTCAGGCAATCTTTCCGCCTCAGCCTTCCAAGTAACTGGAACCACAGGTGTGCACTACCACGCCCAGCTAATATTTTGATTTATTGTAGAGATGAGGTCTCGCCAAGTTGCCCAGGCTGATCTCGAACCCATGAGCTCAGCCAATCCTCTCACCTCGGCCTCCTAAAGTGCTGGGATTATAGGCGTAAGCCAACCTGCCCAGCAAGCTGCTTGATTTTGATGGCTCCTGAAAGTTATGAATAAAGAGGTTTAAACCCATCTAACTTCTTTCCTGGAGTAATATAATACCGTTATTTTTGAAAACTCAAGTTACATTCCTGTTGGGAGATGTTGTAATATAATACCATCTTCCAATAAGAGTCTCACTTGAGTTTTCAAAAAAGCAGAGATAATGTTGGTTGCTGACAAGAACTCAGGGCAAAGTGTTAGAACAAAGGGAGATGTCAGGAGAGAGGATCTTATATAAGGGCCGGCAACCAGGTCTGCTTAACCTCTGACAGCCTCATGCTGCAAAAGAGAAAGTACGAAACACAAAGAAGCTTCTGGGGGCTGAACTTTCCAACAGAATTCGGACCCCATCTAGTTCTTCCTGACCCAGAGAACACAGACATAGAATCCAGAACAGACAAAGCTGATCTGGGAAACAGGAGGATACTGTGATATGGTCAGGGTGAGGTCAGAACTGGGCTGCTGCTCTCTGACTCTCAGGATATGTCAAGCGAATTTTGCCACACTGGGTCTTTGAAATGGATTAGTGGAAGTAAAATAATAATAATAACAGCTACCTACAGGATTAGTGGAGGTAAAATAACAATAATAACAGCAATAACAACTACCACAGAGCTCACATAGTCATAATAATAACCAACATTTATTGAGTGCTTTCAAATGCCAGGCATGGTTTGAATGCCAGGGTTTTACTATCATTGTCTCCTGTACTCCTCACAGTAATTCTGCAAGGTAGGGACTCTTTTTTTCCCCTCATTTTTAAGATTATTTTTATTTTGTAAAGATGGACTCTCACTCTGTTGCCTAGACTGGAGTGCAGTGGCACAATCATAGCTCACTGCAACCTGGAGCTCCTGGATTCCAGTGATCCTCCTGTCTCAGTCTCCTGAGTAGGTGGAACTATGGGTGTGCATCACCACATTCAACTGAAGCATCATTTTTGTTGCTCTTTATTTCTCACTTTATTGCACAAAACTTTTAAGTTTGATTATTTGATGGGTGGAAATAATTGAAGACACTTCATGGGTTCACTTGATGACACCAGTATCCTCTTGTGAGTAACAATTTGTCTCCACAAATGAGTTGAAAATGCATGGGTAGGGACTCTTTTTATCACCATTTTATCGATGAGAAAGTGAAGACACAGGAAGGATAAATAACTTGTCCAACAACACGCAACTAACAAGCAAAGGAGTCTGAGTTCTGAACTTGGCAGTCGACTTGCCGAGGCTGACTCTTAGCCAGCTGGGTGGCCACACAGAGGGAGCCCCTTGGGGACAGAATCTTAACCCTGTCTGTGTAGCTCAAGAGTCTGAGTAGCTCCTGGCTATTGCCTGGGTGGGAGGGGGATGGGTGGGAGAGAAGAGAGCTTTTAACCCCTTCATATGCTTTTCTACTTTCGTCTACTTTTTTTTTTTTTTTTT